ATGAGGACACCGAATTTTTCTTAGCAATAGTTTGCATCGTTAAAATGTGCAAGCAAAGTTTGACTTACATATTGTCATATTACTGTTTGTTAGTGGCAGATATTTTAATTCATTTGTGTATTTATAACAGTGAAAGTATATATTCGTTTAGATTTAGTTTGTTCACATTAACTTAATAATAACAGAACCAAATCTTTATTTTTGAGAATCGTGTTTAAATACACGCGGAGGAGATTTTTTTCATTTATTGACGCTTGGTGCGTTTTTCATTTATTGATTAAGTAACACTGGAGTGATGTTAAAGTTTGGTTGCTGTTGGCTATATTTTAAGATTGGCATACATGATAATATGAAGCTAAAAGATTTAAATTACAATATATGTCGAATTACAATCTTCGTAACAACTACACGACTATATTATTATAAGTATCTCGACCTACTGACCGCCGACGATATTTAAAATCTCACTTTTCTACACTTGTACTAAACTCTTTTCTGAATGTTCCGCTAACGGAAACCGGAAATGCACGCGACAAAACACGATTATGCCACGATAGTAACTCATGCGTGATAATCTCCACTTTGGGGCTTTGCGTATCTTATCGTAGAAAGTATCTTATATCAGCTAAGTCGCATCGTAAAGTTGCATTTAATCGGTTCTTTATGCATGTTACCCGATTTTTGGTTAGAGGGGGAAGAGAAAGTGCCGCCACTTCGCGGAATAAGGATGACGATAGATTTAGCACTTGTTGTGATTTTTTGATGTGAGATTTGAGCCAATAATATAAACAATTTACGTCGTTTTTGCTTTAATTTATTTCGCCCTTGCTTAGTCTGTGGTAAACCATAGGCGCTGTAATAATAATTTCCCAAAAGAATAATAATTTTGATTTGAAGGCATTTTATCGTATTCAACGAAGAACGGTTCAAATTCTCGACGATCCCTTTCCGAGCGGCTTGAAAATTCTTAAAAAGGCCGGCAACGCACTCGCGAGCCCTCTGCCATTGAGAGTGTTTATAATGTCTATGTATGTTGGCCCCTGTTCTATATAAAAACATACTAGGCTAAACCTGAAATTTACCAGCATACCAAGACCAGGGTATTTTTGACTACGTTTTACGGATGTTGTAAACAAAGATTCTCGAGTATTATTTATACTGAACCATCTTAGCAAATACGTATTTCAGACATTTTTAGAGAGATCTCCTAAATACACACCCGTCTGCAGTGTTCAAGTCACACGTTGCATTGAAACCAGACCTACCGTTACTTGCTGCGAACAAAGATGCTGCGGTTTAAGGGAATTCTAAAGACAGCTAAAGAAGGTTAAAAAATATTTGAACCCTCAAGCGTCAGAATCACTATATTATTTAATTTTTATTTAGGAGTTAACAAAGCATTGCTATGAACAGCCCTTTATATATAACTTATAAATATTAGTGTCTACGTATGTGTTAATGTGTATGCGTGTTTGTGGGACTATTTACTTAATAAATTATTTTATTTATCATTTTGTTTTACTAAAAATTTATATTTTCTTACAATAATATTCTTTCAAAGCCAATGCTATGGTAGACATCTTTTTTTAAATCTTATAAACAAAAAGTATACACTTTTCTAAAAGAACCATGTTGAAAAAACTATTATACATTACGTCGCCTACATCTCAGATAAATAGCCTAGATATATGCGTAGCGTTTCGTAGCACTTTCTAGCTTACCGCTACGAAATAGATTGGTAAATAGAACAAACTGACATCGCAGGCTACAAGATTGCGATGAAGTTGCCTGGACCTGAGCTGCGACCAGATTCGTAAGTACGTACTCATGTTATTTTCAGATAATTATACTTTAGATACATACATAATTGTTTGAATTTCTCCGTATAAACAAACATGTGTGATGTTTGTGAGCATAAAATAAAAGCGACTACAATGTTAGTACTGTGAAAATATGGTATTGGAGACCAATGCTAAGGATTCCCTGGACAGCTAACAAACGTGTCCATACTAAGATGGTTACAGATAAAAAACCTTTCGACGCTTTGCCACCAACGCATCCTGAGTTTTTATGGCCATGTAACACGCAGAGACCCATAAAGTCTAGAAAAACTCATCGAGACTGGCTGAGTGGAGTGCACCAGACGTCGAGACACCGATCAAGTAAAGGCCCTTACACGTCTTACCATACAGACAGAGGCTATCCAAAGACACGGGAAAAGTGGAGAAAGCTGTGTGGCGCCACTAACACGACATTCAGAAATGAAGAGCGTGACTGTAGAAGAAGAAGATGTTAGTACTAGCAACTCAAGGCGTTTGCACTTTAATTCATAAAATAGCATAGAAAAATTGTACAACAGTGAATTATTTAAATTGCTGAAGATGGACACTGAAAAACACACCGGTAACATAATACTGCAAATCGGCTTACAGGTCCTTCCATCAAAAACCATTAATTAGTGAAAACTCACGTCTATGGAATTCCCTTTGCAGCCTTATACTATATTAATGTTTGAGCTTTAACTCGTTTGTAATAGGGAGGTTTTTTGAAAAACAGAAAGTTTAAAAGACCTCAGAACAAAGCACTAATGAGTAACATCGCATATAGAATTTGTTCTCAATAGAAGTGTAATTCGGAACCTTTTCGATGCTAAAAGATTTTCATTACGTTTGACGTTTCGCTTCGTTATACGAAGACGTGAGTACGTATTGTTATAACCTTCTATTGTTTATAAGTTATAGGGGATTTAATTAAGGTATAAGGTTGTACATACAAATTAATTTATTCCTTTGAAACCTTCAGGGAACGCATGCCGTATAATACTTGGGTTTGATTCCCAGCGAAATTATAATTGATTCGTAAATAATAAATTAACAAAGCCACTCCTAATCAGAACATTATACTTGTTCATCAAAACTTGAAAGTTTATTTTGTAACAGTATAATACTTTTTATACAAATAAACAAATTCTTGGTTGTGGTATATGTAATAGTTGTAATGTGTTGAATAAATATAGTTTTCTCATCGCGGATCAATATATATTTTAAAAATAAATATTACTAAACATACATAACAACGTTGCGATATTAATAAACATCTTAACATATTTGTACCTAACGTCTTTTGTTTCAAGTTGATGGAAAAGTTACGCAATTCGTCAGATATTCGCGTCTTTAATTAAAATCTGTGTATGTTTATGCCCTTAGGGAAAGGTTATAAGTATAAAATAAGTTTTGATTACCACCCAAGGAATTAAAAAATCATATTAATTCAGTTTAATTTAAAATTCGCATTTTATCACATGCCTTTCGAGACTTTAGTCAAATGGTCTTAGGACAAAATCAAAGAAAAAATATATGATATTTTTACCATTTTGCTTATTCGGGGGATTAGAAACGATAAATCATTCTTTGTATTTCCTATAATCCAATGTCATATCTTTTTTCGATGATAACTCCATCAACAATATTATCTTTATTCTCTACTTATTCTTCGTATTAAATAATGTAATTAGGAACTCCCTATAAATAAAATATATAAAAAGAAGGCCACTTTGTCTTAAATTACAAAATTATAAGATTTCATAACTTTTATATTGAGCTCACAAACGATTTTGTATCGAAATATACGCGAGCAGTTTTGCCTATTGACTTCAGCGTGCGACTCTCATCCCTGAGGTCGTAGATTTGATCCCCGGTTGTGCTATTATTAATAAAGAACGGTGAAGGAAAACATAAAAAACCGGCTTGCCTTAGACCCAAAAGTCGACAGCGTGTGTCAGGCATAGCAGGCTGATCACCTTCCTATTAGATTGACAAAAGATCATGAAACAGATACAGAAATTCCAATCCAGACCTAAAAAGGTTTTAGCGCCACTGATATGTTTTATACGTAATATATTCCAGCATCGGAGAGATACAATTAAAAATACAGCTTAAAATGGTGTAAATTTAGCGTAGTGTTATAAAAAAAATATAGTCATTAAAGAAAACTACATACTTCTACAAGAATTTTATATATTAATTATTCTTTAGATTCAAGTTTCGTGTACAACATATAATTGATATCGTGTCGCAACTTAAGCCCTATCCATAAATAGCAGCACCCTAAATGTATAAGTACCTAAAGCACTTTCCAAACCGGCTTGCACGCACACAGCGCATCGCCTGCGCCCGCGCCGCTAACGAAGGGAAATTTTGGCAATAACTTGGGCTACAGCACGCTCAACTGGATATTGTGCACTTGATATTTGATTAATCACGTTAAAACTATTTTTGGCTGTGTCTTTTATTAACTATAGCGAGAATGTAGTTTAGTGACCCTATTTCATTACATAATAAAAATAAAATAAAAAATCAGTGGCGCTACAACCTCTTTAGGTCTTGACCTCAGATTTCTGAATCTGTTTCATGATCATTTTTAAATCTAATAAGCAAGTAGGTGATCAGCCTCCAGTGCCTGACACACGCCGTCGACTTTTTGGGTCTAAGACATGTCGGTTTCCTCACGATGTTTTCCTTCACCATGCGAGAAAATGTTAATACAATCATAATTAATAAAAAGACCTCAAAACGTTAATAATAAATAAGTTTTGGTAATTATATAATACATAAAGTTATATCAAAATAGAAAAATTTATTACTATGTTTTTGTGTTAGTACCATTACTTATTAAAACAGATAGTAAATCAGTCGCGCTACTACCCTATATTGTTCTTGGCCATAGATTGCATCCATTTAGATCATTTCTTTTTTTATACACAAGTAGAACATGCTTCTGTATCTTCGATTTATGGGTTTGGGACTTGCCAGTTTCCTCGCGATCTTTGCGTAAGCTGATCTTGATTACATACACGCACATAGAAAGAAAATTCCATTGGTACAGCGCCGTGATTCTCGCTTAAGCCACAAGCCCACACTGCTGCTTTAAGAGTGACTACAGATACAGTTTTTTCTTAATTAGTTTTAAAGTAATAAATTAATTTAAAAAAATAGTCTTACTTCAAATCTAGGATCATCCTTCGTTGGTCCATACAAGTCCTGTATAGCTAGGACATTGTATTCCAAGTCTGGATTTATATCAGTGAGGAAATCCTTTACAGCTTTGATTCTTACTTCAACTGGCTGTATTAGTTCCCATAGTATCTTTGCTGAAATATAATTGTTTTTTAACCAACTAAAATTGCAGACTTGTCCATGACTTTAAGTATGTAATAAATCCCAATTGGCAGATTATTAACATTCTCTAAGTATCTCTGCACATAATCCACACGGAAAACTATTGGGGAATAGTTTTATTACTCTACTAACAATATATGGACTTTTAATGGTCTGCATTAAATGATTTTTTTTTAAGGTCTTTGATATGATTCTCTGTGATCATATAATAGTTTTGGATCTACTTATTTGTCTATAAAGATAAATGTGTAAAGGAAAAAAAAGCCGTAGTAAATTGGATATGGGGGCTTTGTCTAAGGGTCTTATACTTTATATTTGGCATACATATACAAACATGTAAGGTAGGTACGTAGTTAGTATTTCTATTTATATATAGCCTTACATTGAATCATATTAACATCCGTGACACCAACTGTTACATGTTTTGTTGCCCTCAAGGCAGCCTGTGATAGAAGTATCTTGTGGCCATTGTGAAGACGATCAAATGTACCGCCAAGAGCTACATATTCATAAGTCTTCACTGGCTCACCTTTCATACTTTCAATTTCATTTTCAGTCTCTAAAATTAAATTATATATTTGTTAATACAGTATAGAATCACAAAGCCATAGCATGCACTAATACATATTTTGGGCTATAGAACTTCTGTGAAGATAATGCCTAAAAAGAAATATCAGTGTAATAAAGAAATGTCCCAGGAATTTCAGGAATGCACACACTATATTTGTAATTTTTGCTGTTTAATGTTTGGTTAATTTATTTAATTTTTTTAAGAACAATTTCTTTATTTAATTATTGAGTAGCTCAAACTCATAGTTTCCACATTGCAAATTTATAATTTTTGTCATTACGTCATTGATAGGTAAGTATAAATATGCAGCTGTTCTTTTTTAAAATTACATATGTAATAAATAATTGCATAGGCTATATATAATGTTACTGTTAATAAATAGATTATTACATTTACCAATAGTTTGCAGTTGGCATCCAGGTCTTATATTTGACACAAGTTTTTTAAGATTTTGATTTTCTATTCTAGTATCAGTCAATATCATATCAATAGGATGATTTGTTTGGAGTTTTTTCAAACCCTCCAAAGGTTTTAATATCAATCTTATATCTAGGTTTGCATTTTGTGTCGCAGTCTGAAAATGGAATTTCATAGAATAAGATAGATTAAAACATTTTTTAATATTTCTGAAAAGATATATTAGAACAAATGATAATTTGAAATCAAAATTAATTTACATTTATATCCGTTACAGAAGTTTTATTTAAATGTACTATGTAGTACTAGTATAAAATTTTCTTAAATGAATTAGCTCAATTAACCAACAAAACAAACTTTGCTATAAATGCTTAGTGTTTGTTAGTTAGTCATATTTCCTTATGTATAATTATCACTGTATATGATAATTCAGACTTTTATACCTTTTTTATTTGCAGAATAATAATATCATGAGTACTACATAAAATCATAAATACCTTTGAATATATATCAATAATTTGCTTGTTAATAACTGATAAATTATTATCTACCCCAATATATTTGATGTAAAGTATATTTTTTACAAGTCTCGATGATTTCAAACATAGTTTCAGAGATTTTGCAGTGTTTGAGACAAATAATAGAGCATTTGAAGCCATTAGATCTAAAAAGAAGAGTTAAGATATACCGAAATTTAAACGATAATTATTTATCAATAGTTATTACCTACCTGTATTTGAATTCATTTTTGTAAAATAGTAGGAAAATGAAATAGATAGTAACACTACAGCTATGGCAAAGCTAAGTAAACTGTTACACATATTTAGACATACTTTATCATTATGGTAACCAAAACTGACTCAAACTAGTCTTATGTGCATTTGAATTGCAAAATGTACTCACTTCGTTCCTTGAAACTCACTTTGTACTTTGAACAGATTAAATATAAAATGAGAAACAAAAATCACTTGCATGTGTAGTGTGTACTGATAATTCGACGTTTTAAGTATTGTACGGCTATCAACGTTATAATCGTTATTTTATTACTTTTAAATGATAGTTCGTGATTGGTAACATTTTTTTATTAATTAAGACCTTCCACGTACTATTTACTATTTCCAGGACCTAATTATATTATTTTTAATATATTGGTCATTCGTTGTACAAATGCTTAGTAGTCTTATCTAGTCAATAAAGGTTATAAATTATAATATATACACCTAGTATGACTGCAAGCATTTACGTGTCTAAAGTCTAAACTCTAATTAATAACAATATTGTAGTCGATGATTTGGTATTATACTATTATCAAATTCATTTGAGTTTTTATTGCTTGATCTTTTTTTTTTTTTTTTTTTTAATTTTATGACCTGGTATCAAATTCATTTGAGTTTTTATTGCTTGATCTAGATATTGATAGTAAATAGTAATTAGTTTTTAGCATAGAGCCTAGAGGTTTTTAGTCCTAACTCCTATCACAGATTACCTCAAAACTCAATCAGCAGAATTCAGGAATGTCAAAACTCAAAAGACAAATATATAGTGCTTTTCATGAAAGAAGTCCCGCGGATATTTTTGGAACTAAATTTGACAGGTCGGCAATGTTGTCATTCGTCGATGTTATCAAGTTCGTTTGTTGTGTAGATTTTTGTGAATTTTTAACTATCTTAGTGCATTTTAAATATTGATTACAATGCCAAAAAGTTGTAAAAAGTTCGGCTCGAGAATTGATATTAAAGGTGAAAGAGTTCTGTGAAGCGGAACAAAAGAATAAAGGTGTTTTAATACCACTAAACAATGTTCGGAAGAGAGTTGCCGCCATAACAGGTACTTTTTAGAGTTGCCATTTAATAATTTTTTGCTGTATTGATGGGAGTTTTATGATAATATAAATTCGTTTTTACGACAAAATTGAACAAATACATAACGTGAGAAACTAGGTAACTGAAATTAAAACATATATTACATAAGCATTATAAACTTAAAGTTACTATTATTTTTAATTGTTCATAATTTAATTGCAGGTGTGTCAGAGAAAACTGTATCAAGAATTACAAACGAAGGTGTAACAGCGGCGTGTACTTCAAAAAAATTGTAACCCCGGGGAAGAGTCGCCCGCATCCGAAAAAAGTTCGACTTAGACGGGTTCGATTTGTGCGCTATCCGGCAAAAAATTTACAGTTTTTACGTCGTACATAAAGAATTACCAACATTGGTTAAATTACGGGCAGCTCTGCGAGAGGACATCAATTATCAGGGAAGCATCACAACATTGCACAGGATATTAAATAGAATTGGTTTCAAGTACAAGCGATGTCAATCCAGACGAAAACTACTTATGGAACGCCACGACATTACCGCATGGCGTGCAAGATATTTGAATAAAATACGAATAAATCGCACTGTGGAAAAACGACCAGTTGTATACTTAGATGAGACCTATATACACAATACTTATCATACAAAACGTTGTTGGCAGAGTGAGGAGGAGCCAGGAATGTTCGTCTCAGAATCATCAGGGAGTCGCTGGATAATCGCTCATGCGGGAACAAAAGATGGATTCATAAATGGTGCATTATTAATGTTCAAATCCCAATCAAAGTCCTCAGATTACCACGATGACATGAACTCAGCAAATTTCTTAAAATGGGTGACGGAAAAACTAATACCTAATCTACCTGAAAGGTCGCTTGTGGTAATGGATAACGCTCCTTACCATTGCACTCAATTAAACAAAGCCCCTTCTATGTCAAATATAAAAAGTAGTATGCAAGAGTGGCTCCGGCAAAAGGGTATATATTTTGAAGACACCTGGACAAAAGTTGTGCTGTATGAGCTAATCAAACAAAATAAAGGTCCACCGATATTTGCATGGATGAATTATTAACAGCTCACGGACACGAAGTATTAAGGTTGCCGCCTTACCATTGTGACCTCAACCCGATTGAGAATATCTGGAGCCTTGTAAAAAGAAAGGTGGCGGATAAGAACGTGGCACAAGATCCAAAAGAAATATTAAAATTAACTAAAGAGGCCTTTGAGTCTATTACGGCTGAAGATTGGACAGCTCAGTGCTCGCATGTCGAACATTTAGAGGAGGAATATTTAAAAAATGACGGCCTTATGGATGAAGTGATGGACCGAATAATTATATCAACTGCTAGTGATACTGAAACAGAATCTGATTCTGTTTCAATACACTCTTTCGGACAGTGATGTCCCTATGGCCGTTGATCACAATTATGCAATAAAACCTGAATAAACAATTGTATTGCTTTTCTTTACCCTATTTTCTTATCTTTTCCCTGTAAGTAGGTAGAACACCGCAATATAAGTAAATAAAAATATACTTTTTACATAACAGATATATTGTTTCATCGAAGTACGCAGAAAATAGTATTATTTGATAAATTACATCTGCTAAATGTAAATAAAATAGGTAAATTTTTTACTCATAAATGGCAACATTACGTCATCATTGCAGCCGCGTCTGGGGACTTCTTTCGTGAAAAGGACTATACATACGTATGATACTGTGATGCGCAGCGCTGTGTTGATATTAATTTATCCCTAATGGCCAATGGGAATGGCAAAGGACAAATATATATGACTGTATTATTAATAACTTGTCAATTTGTGTATTATGTGCGTTACGGTAACGCCGTTACCCACAGTCGAAATACATGTTATTTCTAAGTATTTTCTATCTTAAGTTTTTCAATTTTTATTGTAAGGTAAAACCTTCCTCCATTCACGAATTTTATCTGTTATATTATACAAAATATAATGAAAACATTTTTAACTAGCAACACTGAGTTTATGAGAAGTGGAACAAAATTTTACTTCGATTGTTTGAAAATAAATAATTTTCTTGCTTTATAAATAATTTTCAAACGGACAATTGTAAAGGATAACTCTCATTATTACATCCTTTTTTTAAATTTAATGGGAAACCTGCATACTAAAACAGAGGGAAGAAACAAGCTATCTATTCACACATCCCGCGACGGCCAAGCATTTACAAGTCAGGTAATCTGCGATCAAAACGAAAACTTGCTAATGTCATTCACAGCTGAACATTCAACATACGTAATCTACAAAATGCTTTGTTGTTGATGACTATGTGATTGCTTACTTGCAAATAATTTAACAACAAACGTTTGGGTCGATACTGACGTTTGCGTGTTGATTGTTTTGGAAAGTGTTTGCAGTTTGTTTGTTTGTGTTTAGTTCAGCTTGTCGCATTTTGTGGGCAACCTCAGCGGACGCTCCTACCTAAGCGTAACCAGCAACCATTCGGTGTACAGTACTTCTCGGCCTTGGTCACGAGTATCTAGACGAAGGTTAGTGTTGTGTATCATTAATATTCTATTGCAAGGGCACATTATTACATATATACGTTGAGCATGGTATTTTCGTATTTTTTATTTCATATTATTATTTCGTAATTATATTATTCAATTCATTAGCATAGCCGTTATTTAAATTAAATAATGAAGGACACTTTTTATAACTGATTTTTTCACTCAAGAGAATAGACACTTGAAAGTAATTTTATTTTAAATTTTAGATATACATAATTTTATATATTGGCTACTATGCATGTTTTTGAGTATGCCATTACCATAGTCAAATTTGCTAAATAGCAGAGTTTAAAACGAAATTGAAGATAAAAGGAGAGAATAAATTTTACATTTAAATAGACATAATTTGTTATTTATAGAATACATTGCCAAATATCTAATCTGCGCACAAAACTGTCAAAAAGTTTGATTTTAATGAGACCTTAGTGTTCATTGCTGGATCATTGCTTCTTGCTAGCTGTTTATTGTTTCCATTTATTTATAGCATAAGTTTTCAGGTGGCACGATTCTACATTAAATAATCCTCTTGAAGCTTGTAAAACTGCTTGGCCGGTTGCCCACAAAGAGTCAATATTTCTCCCAGAATTCCCCATCACAACTGATCTCTTGAAGAAAGACTTTGAAGTAGTTCAAACAATCGCTAAAGGTGCATTTGGAGAGGTATTTAAAGTGAGAAAGGTCTCTGAAAATAAGGAGTATGCTTTAAAAGTTCTGAGCAAGTCACAGGTTAGTATGCTAAAAATAGTTTACATAATTAATTTTATAAATAAAAATATTGAGCGTCACTAAAATGTTACTAGCCATTCCCCATGGTTTCACCCACATTTTGTTGGTTGTAGTGTGATGTTATTAGCGAGCAGCCCTCCTTAATACTAAAGAACAAAAAGATGTTTTAATTTGAACCTAGTTAACAGGGTTACGCAGTTTAGCACATTCTCATATATAGTTGAAAAGCTTTTGAAATAATTGGCATGTTAGAATTAAGAAATGACATTTTATAGATTAAAGAACTCACGATTGAGTACATTATTTTTACTTGTTTTTTGTTACATAGTATGATAGTATAATGCATGATTTATTATATAAATAAAATTAACAATATAAATATTACAAAACTAGTAATTTAGAGATGCTTCAATTTTTTGTAACAACATTTTAATTATTAGTTTAAAACTTGTTAGAGTCGAAAATTATTTATGAATGCAGTATTGTGTTTTATAATATAGTTATCAAATTAAGCCTTAAAACAATAGCAGATAAAAAAAATTGGTTTAGTTCAAGTGGCACTCTAAAAAAGCCAGTTAATCTATGTTTGATAAACAAAGGTACTCCCTTGACCTATTTTTATATATGCCCAATATTTGGCACAATGCCAACCGTTTCCTCATTCCTACAGTTAAAACTCCTGAAATTGGTTATTTTTAACCTCCCACATCAAAAAGAGGATTGTTTTTAAATGTAATTAACAAAATTTAATACGGAAGCTATTTCTCTTTTGAAGCTACTGATTGATATTCTTATAATTGTTATGTAAATTAAACTTAAAGCTTGTTATCGCTACACTATATCCAATAATTATTTAAAATTTATTCAAGGTCTTACAGTGTTATCTTTATGCTATTTTTAGACAAAATTAAATTAATTTTAATATAATACTATTTCTTGATGGACTTCGATTTGTTTTAGGTCTGTATTTTGATTAGAATAAAAATAATAAACATAATTAGTTGCAAATACTAATCAATAAAAGTCAATTCAGTCAATTCAGTTGCTGGCATGAGTACTGAATTTTGTATTAGCATCAACGCGAAGAAGTCAAAATACATGACAATAAGCCGAACACCGGAGCTTTTCACGCAACTTATACACCTCGATAATCAGACATTGGAACGTTGCTAAAAAATACGATATCTAGGCACAGTGATTGATGAAAAGGGTTACCATAGCATCGAACTCAGCTGTAGAATTGAACAAGCGTGGAACGACTTTTCAAAACTAAAAAAAGTCTTCTCTGTGCTGCTCTACGGCGTAGAATCTTGGACTCTGACAGAGACTATGTCCAAAAAATTGGAAGCGTTCGAGATCTGGGGTTATAGACGTATGCTTAAAATAACTTGGATATACCGCATACGAAATACAACCTTGCTGGAAGAACAAAGAATTGCTTATGACGGTTAAGAAAAGGAAACGTGAGTATTTCACATACACACCAGAAAATACGAGTTACTTCAACCAATACAAGGCGAAGTGGCAGGAAGAGGGAGACCTGGCCGAAGACGCATGTCTTAGTTGAATCACCTTAGACAATGGTTTGGTCAAAGCACCAAGTCATTGTTTACCATAATGATCGCCAACCTTCGCAAGGAGGATGGCTCTATTAGAAGAAGAAAATAACAATAATTGTACATTTAAAATAAAATATAAATATTGTATGTCAAGCTTATAATATATAGAAATTTTAATCATATTATTCTGTGAGAATAATAAATTATTAATTTAAAAATATTTATAAATAAGTTTTTTAACATTAAACATTTGTAGTTCTAAATGTTAATATTTTAATATAATTGTTTGTTTTATATTACCATTATGATTTTAATCCCTAACTTACATATTCGAAATGCAAATGTTACAGGTTATTTAAAAAAATGTGCCATTTGTATTAATTTAAAACACAAAATTAAGTAGGACACTAGGTCATTGTCAAACGACATTAAGATAATTTGACTGTATAATACATTCATTAACATTATGAGTGTTTGTATGATATCAATATACCTGTTTGTTTTAAAACACATCACCTTATATACTACATACATTTTAGTACTAGAAAGTTGTGAATGAGATTAGTTTATAAAACGAAAAATTTAATGGAGACTCATTACGATGTGTTAAATCATTTTATAATCACCCTTCGGTTTCCAAGACAACGTGTGTTATTTAATCACGAATAGAAATCTAACCTCACACTTTAAATGCAATATTTCGGTAGAAACTGTAAAAAGATTGGTCAAGATACTAGTGTTTCCCACTGTCTTGATACGGCGCTGAAACTTGTACTGTGCGAGCATCCGAAAGGAGGATATATGCCCTTGAAATGTGTGGTTAGAGGAACTGGACAGCGAAAAGAACGAATTTGTCAATTCTTAGTCAACTACGAGTGTCACGCCGTCTTTCTTCAGTGTGTCACAAAAAATCCTAAACTTCTTTGGTCTAAGTAATACACAGGCGCTAAGGCTTGCTGAAGAAATAGGAATGGAGAAAGATATGCAACACAAACACGACCTTCAGTAATGCTTATAGCTATAATATGTTAGCTAAAATATGCGATCATTGAGTAGGCTTTGAATAATTATCACACCACATTGTTTGTGACTTTCGTGTTTATATTCTATTATTATTATTTATTGTTCAAAACAAGCAAGATACTTTTTGCCCCGTTCATTCAAGTAAATAAAGCATTTATTGAGAGATACAAAAAGTATATTTTCTATTCCAGTTGGTTCATGACAGAGCAGTGTGCCAAGTTAAGGAAGAGGCGAAGATCCAGTCCGTTGTTGGCCATCACCAATTTATAGCTGAAGCAGTATCACGGTGGCAGACAAAGAAGAGACTTTATATTGGTAAGTGTATGTACTTTTTATAGAATGTTACTCTATAATTTTTGATGTTTTGTTGGTGTAAAATCGCTCGTCTGCTATCATCCACAAACGTTTATTAGACTTAGGGTCTTTCACTAGTTCTTTGACAGCCTTTTAACAGTGCAAGCGTCCATGGGCGGCGGCACAACTAACATCAAGTAACTATAACTTTAGTATTTATTAAATCTACTAAGAAAGTACCAGGAGTCCAAATTTTTTTAACGAATATTTTACGTATCTTATTATATTGTCTGTGATACAAAACAGATGCAATATAATAAGAGTCGTCTTTTGTCAAATTAATAAATAATTGTCACTTTTATTAATTAGCTAATATATAATAATAGCCGTAAACATGAGTTAATAATCCGGTATCTTTAAAATATGGGTCGTAAATAGAATAGTTGAAAGTTCATTCTGAACACACAGGAGTACCGTGATAAGCATAATTTTAATTGTTTATCGTGTGCGAGATGCTCACAAGTTTCCTTGGAATACGATACAAGTTAATTTAAAGTTACTATATTATTCTAAGATATATCTCCGCTAAAGCATTGGAACCTTGTCGCATTAATTATATCAGTACAGATAACAAAAATTTGAAAGATTACTTAAATTTTATTTTATTCTATTAACAATAAACATCGTGCAATTTTATAGTTAAGTAATGGTGCTAACAACTGCTTGCAGTAAAGCACGTGGGGCGTAATTTTTTAATACGACATTTAGTAATTATAATAAAGCCCGCTTATTTCCAAGCTTGAATTCTACAGTTACATATCTAATGTTATAAATTTTTTTCTTGTTACTCGATATCCATACTTCCTTCAGTACCATTGATCGGAACACCTTCACGTGTAAAGGCCGCCTCCAGCTTTTTCCACATTTCTCTATCCATGGCTTTAAATCTTAATACGACAATTAATCCACCAAAACTACATCTATTATAATAGCTCATAATCAAAGGAAATTGCTTTTATATATTATTTAGATATTTGTGAATTTTTCCTTATGAACAGTATAATCAGGTAATTCTTCATAATAACCTATCCAATTATTTATGATTGGAAGTTACATTGATTATAGAAAAAAGCTATTTCATGATCATATGATTAGTATTTTACCATTTAATATCAGCGTAATTATAATAGACACGATAAAATTCGTAGCGATAACTCTAACACGTTTTCTATCGTAAATTTGTATAGCAACGAAAGTCCGAACATGAAATGTTTTAATTGAAAATTGCATGATAAAATCTGTATTGCCTTTGTATAAAAAATGAATCGTTGCGGAGTTTTAGTACTTATTAGGTTCTATCAAATTCTATTTACATTGTGATGAAAACACATCACGTCAACTTATCATAAGTTTGACAAAGTACGAAACCCTGGTTATGCATAACACTAAGATTTTTATACAAATACTAGCCGAAGAAGGTTTTGTAAACAGTTTAAAAAACAAAAATTGTAATTGAAAAAACAAACAAAAAATTGTTATGGTATTAACAATTACGTAATAACTATTAGGTATTACTATTAAGATACTGTACCCTGATACAGGTACTAAACAGGTTTCCAAAACCTTACGCATTATAATGCATTGTTATAATGAATAAACACATTTTTAACTTTTTTTACCGTCAAACCATATAGAGATTACGGTAATATTTTATATAATATTGATGTACATATAATATTTAATATATTGTTTGATGTAAGTGGTTACTCATCGCCAAAACTATTGATGATAAGTCGAATGATAAGTATGAATGTTCATTTCAGTGGCTAAATACACTTTAATAAGAGAAATAAAAAGTACGCATATAAAATGCTTAAAAAGGTGTTTTCAGTTGAATAGTTCCCCTTAAACCGAATTCGAGGCGGGCACCAGTAATAAAATCCGACCGAGTATTAGGTAATTGCTTTATCAGTACGATTGCGACTAGACATTAATGGCAAAATGAGGTCGATTCGACATTTGTCATTAGGTCATCTGTGTATTTGTGGTTTAGAAGGCCATTGGTTAAAAACACACGTGTTTTAAAACTACACTAAATATCCCAAGCGACTTCATTATATGAAGCCCCATAGACTGCGATTAAAAATTATTCAAAATCAAAATCATTTATTCATATAGGTAACACAATGTACACTTATGAACGTCAAAAAAGAAATATATTAAATGCTTCTTATTTTACATTTACTGTCAGTTCTCAAATCAAGAGCGTAGAATGGAAGAGAAGAACTGGCAATAAACTCTACGCCACCCTTTTAATTGCCAAGTTTTTTGTTTTACACAATGTTTGTAAGGAGCTGCAACCATTACACCATGTTCCACATGACATCTTAAGTTATAAATAATAATAAAATAAATTAAACACAAAGATTTGTCCTCCATCAGCAGGAGGCATGGTGAAATAGGTACACGCACTTACATTCTCGTGGGAACAACACGCATAGTTACTGGCAGTAAATCTATGTCCTTACTGCCGTTCATAAGTGTATTAAGTTACCTATCAATAAATGATATTTTGATTTGATTTGAAAATCATTTTAATATTTTGCCTATGAGCTAGTATGGTCATAGGTTAAGTGGCTATGGTATTTATTTTTAATTCGGAATACATTGGGAAATTGTACTCAATCTTTAACATTTTTGATTGACAAAGGTGTATTAATTACGCTTGGAACGACGAGAGAACTTATTGGGCATATTAAAGATTCTATTGTCGAAATATAACAAATGCATTTTTCGAAAGTTTATAAAAAAAATCATCTTGAGAAAAAAAAAATCATTTAAAACACAACATTTAGATTTAAACGTCGCCTTTACTTAATAAATTCTAAGAAAAGCTTTGTACACTACGTCTTATCATTATCAATAAAGTTTATTAAATAGGAACATACTAGTAAAAACTAAAATTTGTAGTTGTAAGTGTTATATCTATAGTATATATATTATATATATTTTTTGGGAAATTACAAGACGGTTTTAATGTAATCATTCGGAAAAGGGTAGCATCCTTGATGCATCGTGTTAAGCATAGCAACAATGCTATCCTGAATGTGTTGATTACACAGAACACGCATATCTTAAAAAGTTGGTATTCTGTCCATACCCCACTGCCACACTTTTGTTTACGAACCCATTACTAACATAGCAACTAAGACCGAATTGTTACTAACTCTAACTAAAACTTAATATGGATATAATCTGAAATAAAAAAATAATTATAAATTAGTTTATGCATGACTGACCACAATTATCGTTTATTTGAAGTTTATCAATAATCACCTCATTTGCTAATGTCCACAAACAGTTTCAGAGTACATTCCGGGCGGTGAGTTGCTAGCGTTGTTAGACCAGTGGAGAAAGTTACCTGAGGACATCGTCAAGGTGTTCGTCGCTGAAATTGCGTTCGCTATAGGTACGTAAAAAATCTAAAAGCAAAACTTCCCGATAGTCTGCTATAAGCAAGTTTTTCGATACTTTTCAAAATCGTATTCTTGTATAAATAATGGATTGATTCGTCGATATTTATTACAATTTTATTTTGGGGCTTCTAATTTTATTACCCAAGAAACATTTTGGGATGAGAGAGCCTGCAGAGGTGTGAGGTTTTATACTGTGCTTAGTACCTTATAAAGGAATCCCCTCTAATGTAATATATAATACTTTTTTAGATTAGTATAGCTGACAAATATTAATTATAACTGAAATCTTAGATGTCTTACCATATATGACAGTTTATATAGGTGATTAGTAATTTGGTGTCCAACAGAGCTTACTACTACTATACAGGCTGTATTAGAGTGCGGTAAGAGAACCGTCTTGAAATTTGAGTTTGTACCAGTGTTTAAACTTTTTTGTTTTGTCGACACCACTCGTACTTCATTATAGTTCATCAGACGTCTTGATTTTTTAAAGTTATAATGTGTAATTTTCAATTTCTTTGTCTCCATAGTTTTATTTTACAAGCACAAAATTCTGTAGAACAATATTTTGTTTTTTTACTATATGTTATGATAAAATTTGTTTTAAATATCTTCCAGATTTCCTGCACAACGCGGGTATTATATATCGTGATCTGAAGCCGGAAAATATTCTACTCGATTCGGACTATCACATACGATTGATTGATTTTGGTCTTTCGAAGTGGCTGTCCATTGGGTCGAGGACTACGACGCTCTGTGGGACTCTTAAATATATGGGTGAGTTATATTCTATTTAAGGGGTCCCTAAAAAGATGTACCATGGTACAACTCAGGCACTTAATAATTATTTTTAGCCATTATCACACTTAATTTAAAATATTCAATGCGTTTTATTATTTTTACAATACGTATAGTATAGTATAGGTCCCGGCTCGTATGTTTGCAAAATTTTTTTTATATCATAATAAATCGATTCTGCAAGGTTCGTTTGGTTCCTCTCGCTTACGTAAAAATTAAAACGGTCATTTTCCGTTTCAGTGTGGGATTTGACACGTTATACCGAAATGGCGTACACGGCATTCGCACTTCGCACTTTATCTCAAACCCTTTAATTCTTACGCGATTTTTAACCATGACATACCAGTGACGCCGTCACGATGAACGCACGCGATTTCAACTTCGAAATCGCCATGGACGGTAGCCAAGTTGACGAGGTGGTAGCCAGTATCTTCCATACAGTGCTATTCCACCGATCGAGCGGCAAATTCACCTACAACAACGAAGAAAGTTACTCCATACGAACCGTTAATTATGTGGACGTTGACTGCGATTTCATAGACTTCACCTACGTCTGCTGCGCGTCCGAATCGCTCGCTCGGAAGCTCAAAAGAGAAATATCGGCCTTTTCGAAACTCCTGCGCACGATCGACGGCAGACCGTCCCCCGCTAAGGGCGAAATAAGCCTCGAGTTCTTCCAAAAGCACCGGACTAGATGGTTTCTGCCGACATACGTACCCGTGCCTTGGGAAATATGGCGCGTGAGTTGTGAATTGACCGAATCGGGCCAGGATATGCATAGACACGAGAGCGTAGTGGAAATGCTTCAAGACCAAATAGTGTTTATCACAGAGATAATAAACCGTCACGAATACGTGCCCAAGATGCCTAACCGGTCGGACGCGGATCTCATATTTGACACCTCGTACCCGGATATTCAACCTTATCTCTTCGCGATAAAGTATAAGTTACCGGAAACAGAGTCGAATACTGTCAGCAACACAGTTCGGAAGCTTATCAGGGACACCCTGTATTTGTGATTATACGCTTGGTGATTTTATATATTGACAATAATTTTGTTTCGTAGTTTGACCTGAAATGGCTAATTATTGTCATCGATTAAAATTGTAATTGTGATATATTTTAATGATTTAGATAATCGAATTTCGGCTATAAATGTGAGTCGAGAAATTAATTTAATGTACTTAGCTATTAGACATTGAAATAGTTTTATTTTTATTTGTTTATCCGCCCCTAAGTTAATAGTGAATTAATTAAACAATAGACAATGAAAGCTGGTTGTTGTGTCCATTTTACGTTTATTTAATCCTAACATTTTAGGGTTATCGATTATTTTTAAGTTATATCGGCACGTATTTTGGCAAGTTTCTTGCGTATTTTAGTAGTAAACAACGCAACTAATACGCGACTTTTGAGGACTATACGAACGTTAGGTTGTGATAGATCGACTATTTGGAGGATTTCCATACTATTTGTATAGACTTGCAAGTTTAGTTCCAAATTCGGCCACGGAGCGCCACTCAAAATTTTCTATGTCTATCTATAAAATCTATCTTTACTATTTTATTAGTGCTAACTCATTGCAATATTTCTATTTTGTAATCATACCTACGGATTGCATCTATTTAAACTAGGACTGTATTCGAGTTTTATAACCAAAACACTTTTTTGTAACTTTTTTCGAAACCAAAAATCATAGACAAATAAAAAAAAACGTTACGTATTAATAAGCATGGCAGGGCAGGCGTGCCCTCTGATAGGCCACATCTCACTTAATATCAGGTGGGATCGCGGCCAAATTGCCCAGTTCTGTATAAAGAAACGTTTTGTCCGTGCTAAGAGGCGTATTCTTACTAAGGTACGTGCTGAACTATAAAAGAGTAGAAATAAAAAAAATTGAAAATGATATTTTATATGTTTTACCTTTAACGTAGGTTATGTAAATAAAGATTTTCAAACCATTCAGATATTAAAATATTGTAAGCAGTTTTTGACAATTTTTATTTTGTTTGACTTTTGTGTGCAATAGAACACCATATCTTTTGGTTTCGGCAATAATGGCATTTGTCTTTAGTCTATAAAATAAATTAAAAAAATAACCTCAAATAGTTAAAAGTTGCGGATACTTCTCCATAACTAATGACTTACAAAATTAGGTTATAATAAACCTCAAAGAACCACCGATTTCTAGGTGGAGATTTAATCGCAATTTTTTTCTGACTTGTAGGTGAAATAGAATAAATGCAGCTACATAGTGTATATAGAAATGTAAATATATTTTTCTCATTCAAATTAATGGTTTAATATGAGAGCTTTATAATGCTTATATGTATATTGTAGATTTTTCTCAGTAGGCTATTTTAAAGTGTGATAATTTTAATATAATGGTGCATGGATAGAAAGTGTAGGAGAAAAGAGAAAATATAAAAAAAATCGTGTGTTCTACAGTGAAACTTTATTAGATTTATTACTAATTTTAAATGTATAAATAGTTATTTTCTTATGTAAACACCTTGGGTTGGCCCGTAATTCAAACGTCAAAGTCAATGTCAAATAACATCGTGAAATTACGATTATTTTTTTTAAAATTATATTAAAATATGGCCTTTATTCGGATACTAAAAGTTTACGTTACATTTAGTTTATAATAAATACACGATCTCTGAAAGAGACCCCAAAATTCTTCCTCGTATATATTATTTTCGCTACTCTGCTCCAATCTTTCTCTACTCTCTTTTATTTCAAAGTTAATCCAATTACAAAACGGCGAGTGTCTATTGGGTTAGGATGGATTTACTAATTTTTCAAAGTTGTTGTAATTATGGAAAACGATTACGTACGTAGAACGAAACATTTTGCACGACTGTGATTGGTCGCCAATAAGATTAGATCGATCAATGATTTGGTTTTTTTAAATGAATTAATAATAAATAAATTTACGTTTGAATTATAGGCTATACCTTTTTAAATATAGAAAGTATATTCAATTTAACTATCCGCCCTTGAGTTATATTCTATTATTTTCATCTTAAAACGAATTAATGAGTTCTAATGGCGTCAACTAAATAAAACTGCGCTTATGACAATTTAAGTTAACGAACATATAGTCGAGGAAGCGTAGATTAGAAAAACGATGTTGAGAATTGTTTATAATTTCCTATAGTTGTGTTGTACTGTATAACTTCGAATTTTTAACACTTGAAAAAAAATCTGAATCATTTGTGAACTACCCGTTTAATGTTTAAAAAAAATTGTTTTAAACTTCAAATTTATAATGCAAAAAATTATATTAATAATTAAATTTATAAATTAAAAAAATAAGCATTTTAGTGTCGCCATTTTGATTGAGGATTCAGTTGAAATTACCATATTAATAAATAACGGAGTTTAGTTGTTAAAATGTCTTTTATGCCTTCAATTTGTATTTGTACTGACTCCATCCATGAACTGCTTTACTTATAAACGCCTCTTAACTATGTTAGCTGTCTTATAAAATTAAGAACTGCTTAGCTGAGCGGCTTTATAAGTAGGCGGTTAGTTATTTACTTTCCTACCTCATTTGTAGCTCTAAATACCCTTGATTGTATCTTTTTATTAACTTTTGTCACCAAAGAAATGGCTGTATCTTGACAATCTTATGATTGGCCCCATTCACGCTATTAGTACCTAAATGTGACCTTCTGTGACCTTTTGTTATCGTAAAGGGATAAACCAATAGAAATAATTACGAGTAGGGCGATTCTCTTTATTGCTTCACCAAGTTGTAGCGGTACTAATGTAGCTTAAGGCGTATACGTATACGTGGAGGAAGGGCGTGCCCTTCCTCCGGCTTTAAAGGAAGAATCCTCGACCAGTCTTCTACCGACTGGCTGGCCCGAAAGCTCAAATGGCTGAGGTCTAGAAGTTGTTTATGCTTAGCGGTCGAAAAAACGTCGTTCGACGTCAGGGTAGTTATTTGTAGGTATCGCTATATATATGAAAGCGACGTATACATATTTAGGGGAATACGATTTTGATCGAACACTCCATTTCTAAAGAAGTTTTCACTTCAAAAATTTAAGGAGGCTGTAATCAATTCATAAATTTTTTAATGAATCAATTCCCTATTCTTAGGTGTGAGCTGGTGGGTACCGACACTTAAGATTCTATTGGTTTCTATCTTTACGATCGCATGTTTCCTTTGTAGATTATAGCGAGCCGCTTACGTCTTATAATTTATGACCCAAAATCAAGTATTTGGTGATGAGACAATATTTTAATACAGATATATACAAAACTTTATGGCTGCGTACATGTTTTTGCGAACATAATTCCCTGTATGATCCTTAGCGTAAGCATGAGATAGCTGTAAAATATTTTGTCTTTATTACTTGAACTTTAAAAACAAATAAATCTGACAAAACATTGTATGACTATTTGAGACTTATAATACTTATAATTTGCTATTTTTGTAATGTCAAAAAGAACTGAAAGTTTGCTGGTAATATTTAATCAATTAATGAAGTAGATTTTTTGTATTTAGCGAAATAAACAATAATTGATCATAGGTATTGCACGAGAAATGTTAGGAGTCTAAAGAGGAGGATATTTGCACAGACTACTGTAAAATACTAGTAGTCTGTGCAAACATTCTTCCGTTCCAATTATCTATTTCGTTACTTTGTCTGGGTATAGAACGCTTTTAAACTTAGCTCATTCTAAACGCTACTAAAGCGAATTTCGTGTGCAGTGAAATTACGAATCGAATTTATACTTCCAAAAAGTTACTAAGTGAAGAGCTCGGACAATTTCATGCGTTTCTATTAGTATCAATTCATCTTTAATGTAAGCTAAGTCTAAATACGCTTTGTGCAGCCAAACCCTTAGAGTTGTGACTCACTGTGACCTGTGTGTCAAAAACATATGGATGTGCTCTACAGGGTATATATAATAGCGCCGTCTCGACTCGGAATCTTACCCTCTGTCTCGATTTCCACCAGCCATAGAGTTTGGCACGTCTGTAGTGAGTGAAAATTGTGTGCCTCGTTTAAGATATCGTCGCACGTTGTATATAAGCACATTTGCCTTACTTAAAAATGTTATGTATGGCTGTTACTTGTATGTAAAGTATATGTTGTGATGTATCAGTTCAAAAGCAGGATTTGTCTTGTGATAATTTATATAAATATGTGAATAAATGATAATGTATTATTTGTTTTTGATTTTTCAAATACCCTTATTTAAAAAAAAATACACCAGATTCACAAACAGTTAAAGTATTTTACCAAAGTACTATTTCCTCTCTTTCGGTCAAAATGTGTTTACGCTGTGACGAAAAAACAAATTAATACTTGTTATTAAGTTTATTTACTTGTTATGACATTTTTTTTTTAAGACATGATTTTAGAAAGAAATGTAAAAAGGGCCTTTTAATTGGTATATTAACTAATATCCGTTTTAGGTAATTTAATTCTTAAAGAAAGTATTATCCTTGAATATAAAAAGGCTGCGTTTATAAGCAAAAATATATTACACATTACTACATTGTCCATAATAAATTTGATTGGCTTCCCTGCTTAGTAGCGCTAAGCATTGGTGACTAACAGAAATAGTGTATTGGCTTGAAATCGCATTGGTTCCCAAAAAATATGAGAAAACTACCCTAAGAGTTTCGATACTTACCACTGCTCACTTATCGATTAAAATACAATAAGGTGTTCAGATGGGTTTAAAGAATTCTCAAAATCTTTTACAATATTTTACTTTGATCTTTTTTTGTTGTAATGTATGTACGTGATTTCACGTGGGTGTGAAATCATGTACATACATACATTACAATTATTATATTTTAGAAGAAGACATTATTATTATAGAAGACAATTATTATATTATAGAATTCATAAAAATATTGTGTTAGTTAATTGAGGCTCTCGATACGATTTTATCGGTAAGGGGGATAACATGTATTAAGTATTTGAATTTTAAAATATTGTGAAAGTGTTGTGATCTCAAGACATCAAGCAGACTTCGTGTGCTCAGCGACAACAACTCCCATGTAATTATAAAACTTTATTTTATTATAATTAATAATTGTATGAATGGTGGAATGATGCGTGGAGCACAGGAAGTGTGAATGTTATGTTTTGTATTGATTAAGTCGTAAGCAAATACACGGACGTCACGAATAATGGGTAAAATAATAGCTATCGTAATATAATAATAATCTAAATATATATAAATTACGTGTCACGTTGTTTGTCCGCTATGGACAGCTAAACTACTTAACCGATTTCAATCAAATTTGCACACCGTGTGCAGTTTGATCTTACTTAAAAGATAGGATAACTTACATCTTAATTTATACCCGCAATATTATTTATTGCAAATTATTTGTTTATTATTTGACAGTCATAATTTTAACAGATGGTTCTGTGTTGAAAGTACCAACGTTTCTCATATAAGCAACAATTTAAAGGCATAACCACCAAAAAAGCATGGTGGTTCCCATGACTGGTGTTCTCCTACCGTTTCCATTGAATAGTATACTATTCTGTAACAAAAACCTTAGCCACAGCAACGCTTGGCCGTGTCTGCTAGTAATAATATAATACATAAAAATACAAGACAAACTCTGTGGTTTCATAAATCGTCTCCAACAATGTTTATAGATTTTCAAATAATATATGGAAGACAAAGAAGCGCTCCGTGAGCGTATGTGGAACTAATCGGAATCATGCCCACAAATAAAACGAATATAATTTTTGTACTAAAGCAATTGTATGGAAAATCTGAGCACCAGACACTGAAATTATCTTATTGACGTATATGAATGAAATATTGCATAAAGTTCGTGCTCAGGTCATGTATATTTGTGTTAGCTTTACTTATAGAAGTCCAGGAATCTAGATTTCGATCAATGTCTGTACGAGAAGGTAACTTATCAATTAAAGAGGCATAATATTTAGTTATTTTGGCAAACAAACGATAAACATTCAGTAATTTCATCCGTTACTAACACATCTATTTTACTTGTACTGAGTTATATGTGTAAATAATCTATATGGTATTATAAATTATTGATTTCAGCACCAGAGATCTTACAACGCGACGCGTATGGACACGCAGTTGATTGGTGGTCGCTGGGCGTGATCACTTGTAGAATGCTTACTGGAGAGGTATTTATATATTTAATAATATATATATATATATTGTATGTGTATAAATTTTTTAAAATCTCTGGCCATCCACCATGAAAGGCGCTTCAAGCTTTTAGGTATTTCTAAACCAGAACGGATGAGCTATGAGAGAATGGTCAATTACTGTGCGTCGGCGATGCACTTGTAAGCCATTGAAAGATCCTATGGACTCCTAAACTACTGAACCGATTTCAATCAAATTTGCACACCGTGTGCGGTTTCATCTAACTTAATATATAGGATAGCTTACATCTCATTATTTTATTGCAAAATATTAGTTTATTATTTGATAGTCACAATTCTAACAGATGGCGCTGTGTTGAAAGTACCAACGTTTCATATGAGCTACAATTGAATGGCATAACCGCCAAAAAAGCATGGTGGTCCCCATGACTGGTGTTCTCCTACCGTTTCCCTTGAATAGGTTCCTACTATGTAATATAACAAAAACCTTAGCCACAGCAACGCTTGGCCGGTCTGCTAGCATAATATAGATAAAAGCAACTGGATGTAATGAGTACGATAATATAGTTTTAGTGATTTTCACATTACAATTACTGAACTTTTACGACATAGTGAATGAAATTTAGAATATGGGTTTTGAACCAGAGTCTATAATTTTGAATAAAAAAATAAAAGGTACTCTTAAAAATCTATAATATACAAATATATATAACAGCAGATAGAATGTTTAAACTTGTATGCTAATTGTTATTATTCTAAAACCAATGTGTTTTTCGGCCCATATATCTATTGTCTATATTCCTGATAAAAACTATTTTATCTACTGCAGTAAAGTACCTTATGTTTTAAGCAATGAATTCAATTATTTTAAAAGGTATTTTTTGTGTTATATATGTAATCTTAGCTACATATTAAGAAATATAACGGTATAAATAAAACATGTAGTAAAAAACGTATTTATTTATTACTTAGAAGTACCGGAAATTCGATAATTTATTTGCAAATAATTACAACGTAGGTAATTCTTTAGTTTCCTATTTAAATAAGTCTCTAACTAGTCTGACATTCACGCGAATACGGCTTTTGGCCGGCTATGCGGGGAACCATCACAAACGCACAGCGTTGAGCTCTGGGCTCCTACTCGCTTATTGGCAAAGGGCGCGTGTCGAGAACCATTGGCTGTCGACACACGCCCACCGCCTGCACAGTTTTGTTTATCTAAGATGAGGCAGGGCTAGATTTCTCGCCGCTATCCTCTGATGAGTCCTTCTCCTTGCTCTCCACACTTTCTCCACTCTCCTCAGAGCTGCTCTTAGCTGGAGCGTCTCCTAACGCTAAGTCACCTTCCTTGACTTCAGCCTTGGCGTCACCTGATTCCTTTGCAGGTTCTGCAGGTGCCACGCCTGCCTTCTCCTCTGCAATTTCGACCTTCTCTACTTTCTCTTCAACTTTCTCAATCTTTTCTTTTGGCTCTTCACTAGGTGCAGATTTGGCCGCGATCTCAGGAACTTCGGGTTGCTTTTCTTCTGGTTTTTCTTCTTCTTCAGATTTAGTTTCTGGCTTTGGAGCATCTTCTTTCTTTTCTTCTACAGCATCACGAACCACTCGTTGTGCCTCGTCAGCAACTATACCGGCGGCGCTAGATTTCGGTTCAACTGGGGTAGAAGGAGCAGATGGCTCTTCTTTTTTTTCTTCTGGTTTCGACTCAGTTGGTGTGCTTTCCGCAACATCTCCACTCTTTGAAGCTGGTTCTTCAGGAACTGGCTTCTCATCCTTCTTCTCCTCAGGTTCAGCTATTTTAGGGGCAATGGCTGGCTGTGATGCGGTGATGGGACTTATTGCAGCTGCATCAATAGGGTCATCGGCGACTGCAGCAGGGTTCTTTACTGCACTGACTACGTCAAAACCTTCGGCGATCGCAGACTTAAGTGCTGGCTCTTTGACCTCTTCTACCTTTGCTTCAGACTCCTCAGATTTTGATTCTGGTTCCGGTTTGGGTTCAGGGTTCTGAATTTTTTGCTCGGTTTTTACTTCAGCGGGTTGTGCTTCTTCTGCTTTCTTTTCGTCTTCTTTAGCTGGTTCCTCAGACTTGACTTCCGGTATTTCTGCCTTCTTATCTTCTTCCTTGGCGTCTTCTTTCACATCGGGTTTTGATTCGACAGCAGCTTCAATAGGCGATTCTGCGTTTTTAGCTTCAGGTTCTACTGGTTTGCTTTCCTCCTTTTTGGCTGGTTCAGCTTCAGCTTTTTTCTCATCTACTTTGGCTGGTTGTGCATCATTTTGTACCTTTTCTTCTCCTGACTTTGCCTCCGCCACAGCAACAGGCGTGACGGGTGTTTCTTGTTTCTCCTCCGCAACGGGCATAGCGAGGCTCACAGCCGCAAAGGCCAAACAAATTATCAGCACCTTCATCCTGAAAAACAAAAACAATATGTAAATTATATATATACAAAACTAAAATATTAACAATTGCAACGCACGTCTACAAATCGTGAATGCGGTAAGGCCAATGTTACGCGCCGCCTCCGAGCTTAACGTTCATCGCAATTTTCCAATTAAGGTTGTATAATGTAAGGGCCCGACATGCTGGGGGCGAGTGCCTAGTTCAATTGAATTAAAAGTTGACTTTGAGCCGGACGTGGGTTATTTGTGAAAGTGGGTAATAAAATAGGAAAATATACCTAAATAAAAAGCGTTAACAAAAACCTATACCCATTTGAATAAGATATTAAAATTTATTGCATGTCTTATAAACTCGTTATAGGTCATAGACACGAGGTATTTATACACCAAGTCATTAAGTCGTATCCCAGGTCCTGTTGGAATGTGGTCCGGCGCCACGCCACAAATAGAACGTACATCCTTCGTAATTACAGCGCCCTGAGGATATTGGAAAATAGCGCGCAATGATAACGGCTTTTTGAAGCAAACCAATGAAACAAAGAAATATCTGCAAACGTTGGGGGTTTTCAAAGCATTGTGGACATTTCCTAGCGTTGTCTAGTACACCGGATGGGAATTGTGCGTTTGTCATAAGGATCGGGCGAGACGTCCACACTACGGTATATGAATTTTAATACGCACAATGAATAGAATCGGTAATTCAGAGATGCTATCGTGAATGATTCACTAGTGGGCTAATCTGGACATTGCTAATTCGAATGGCCAATGATTGAACGCAAGTTCATTGATCGCGCAATTTATATCATTCATAACAATGAATCGATTATTTTGTGTGACGCAAATCCAATTTAATATACGGGGTGCAATTTTGAACAATTTTCTACAGTATTTCGGTACCCGTTATGGCTGATGTCGTTTCGACATGGATTGATAATTCAAATATACAATTTGAGTAATTAAGAGAAAGGAATATCTAATAATCCCTACATAATATATGTTCGCTTTCCGCCGTTTCTACATTTGCCAAGTTTTCCGCGTTGTGCGGGCAATAGTAAGCAATATTTAAGCATACTACAAACACATTTCTAGCATTTACATGGAGTACATATATTATGACATCCATCGAAGCTTAGTTTGTAACTAGTTGTCTCGACAGACCTCTTGCCTTTAATATTCAATTTTAACATATGCGAAGCTTCCGTAGTGAAATTTTCCAGATTTTTTTTGCGTAATCTCCTGGTGACATCCAAAATATGTACTATATTATATAAAGATTAAAAGGCGTAACTATCATTCAAGTTCTGGTAATGATTTCATAACTTTACAACTTGTACCTATTCGTTTCCGTGCATAATAATTATTTTACTTTCATTAAGAAGAGAAGGGTTGTCCGTTTTTCAATACAGGTTCTTTATTATTTGTATTAACTTATTACATTACATGATAAAGCGCGTTTATCGAATGAATTAATAGGTATTTTAATAAGTAAACAAGTTTCAAAGTTCAAACGGTAGTTTTAATTTTGTACATTAAAATACATTAAAATTTCAATAAAAACAAAAATGGGAGTGAATGATTTCCCTATTAATTAACAATAATATAAATATTTACCTATACTTAATATAGGTAGGCACAAAACTGCCTTACAATGATTCGACCTCAACTACATTCAAATAAATTGGCTACGATTCCGATGTAAATGTATTTCTATCAATAATATACGTTATACGTACGCTATAATTTGTAAGTAATTCGTTAGGAATAGTAATTAAGTATAAAGCATGTGTTTGCTTGTAAAAGGATGTACAATTTTAATTGTTATTTTTGTGTGTTCCTTGATGGAAGCTCTCACTGTAATGCCCGTTAGAAAACCAATACATAAGCGTAAAATCCAAAGTCATTATGTTTCTGAATCTTAGCCCAAACCACTGAATACGGTAACATTCCACTTGTAGCGGAAAACGTTTGATTTGTTTGATTGTTTCTGAGTAATTCTGGAAGGATATCCTTAGCTCGAGTCTTCCCACACATTCGAGCAATCTTTCAATTGAAGCACAGCGCATGCTCTTCATTGCGCCAATCAAAAATATGCCGGCGATGCGGCGAATACATGCCTCGAAACGTGACAATGTATTACTACCCTTATGTGAATTGATAATTTATTTATTTATAAGTTCTAAAATAACGTGTATGCATAAAGTTGTACAAGAAAATATGACATCTTTACACACATCAATTATATTAGAACAGAATCAAGCTAGCAAGGGAAAAATTAAATAAGCAACCACAAATAAAAAACAAATAACAACTAAAAATAATAATAACTAAACTAAATATTGGACGTTCAACTCTATAAACGCTTAGATTTTTTTTTAAGAAAAAAAAAAATGCCTAACATAAAATTACTTTCGAACCTATTTTAACAACTTCGAGCGTCTGTTGCTTTTTATTATATTGACATTGATGAATTTGACAGTTGTCTATGGTAAGTAGAATTACCATCACCTGTATTGCTAAACATGTTTGAATACTGAATAGGCTTTCAAATTTGATAACCTGATTGTAGGCCTTGTTTATTTGTCCTTGCATTATTGCGACAATCAACATATTTTACTGTTCAAAGCCGTGAAATATTTACTAAGGGAAATAATTCTGTATGTATTGATAATCTAGGTTTGATCATTCATCAGAAGGTCGAAATTTCCCAAATAGAAAAAAAGTTATCAACTAATACTGATAAAAACTCGAAAATAAACCAGAAACTCAATATCAAAATGCAAAAAGCTTATCGTCTATCGATATCAAATATATATTGAAGATTCAAAAGAAATTTTATGAGTGTATATCAAAATTAATAAAAAAATATAAAACCATTGTAAACTTTTGCAATTGACCGCATATATGTAGTACGAGAATCTTATTGCACAAGAATTAAGACCAAAAAGATCGTCTCTATGTCTATACACTATGGAAAGAGAACAACTAAGTCCTAAATTATTTTTATTTACCCTTATCTATGACCTTAATTCACTATTTAGAATTATTTGTTGATTAACAAGTAAGTGCATTGTTACACTCGTATTTAGCACTTATGTACTTAAGAAGTTACAACATGCATCACATACAACTTATAAGGTTTCGTAAACTACAAGGCCTCTCCTAATATAATTATAAAATTAACTATCAATAGAATTGCAATAATCTTTGCGAAAGAATCTGTAATGTCATTAATTTATGTCGTATTAACATATTTTTAGCGTTTGAACAGTTCAATCAATCTCACAAACTATTAGAATAATCTAGTAGCGGGGTTAAATTGATTCTAGCTTTAGATAAGGAGGTGATTACCCGATCGTGCCTCATACGTAAGCTGAGACTCGGTTATTCCTGTTTCCTCTAATATTTCCCCTGGCCTTACTAACAAGTGCTAATTACATGGGAACATCCATTACAGCACAGGTTGCGAACGCACGATCTCGAATCTTACAAGAAAAGCAGTGGTTAGTGGTAGCCACTATTTGCTGATGTCTATTAATTTTTCGATATATTTTAAATCATACTTATTCAACAATATATTTTATAATGTAAAACAACATCGCTTTTTTATCTATTCCTTCTTATAACGTTATTGATTTTCTTACCCAACCAACTCGGTTCTTATAATTAGCTCTGTCATTCGCTATTTATCATGTCTAGGTAATCTTGTATATGTCATATCTAGTCATCGTTCACGCGGGACACGTAATATGAGTCCATTTTATTATTATACGCTTTTTATTTACACGTTTATGTCAGGTACGACGCAAAAAGTACAGGATACATGGTTAAGTTGTTGTCGCTATTGTTTATATTTTTTCTTGAGATACACGATTCTACATAATGACCAAATTAGTAAAAACTGTTTTATACTGAAGAATTGAGTAAGCAAACATAATAATGTCGATAAGAATAAATAATTTTTAATGTTTACGACCAGTTTTTAAATAAAGGGCTCAAAAGACTGTTAATAGTAAGTAAAGCAATCTTATAGTATTGTAATCCTAAAAAATAAAACCAATTAGCTCTAACTCATTGCTAGATGTAAAATTTATTTTACATTTATAATCTATAAGAGAAACAATTTGAAAATAACTAAACGTGTGGCGATTGAGAATATACAATATCATAGGTCATTCAAGACTAAACAATAAAGATTTCGAATGAGTTAGACGTTAATATACGTGTTTTATTTGGCAAATAAATCGTATTTAAAAGCTAAGTTTCAACAATATAATAAGTTCATACATATTCTTTAGTTCCGTGCATTATTATTCCAATGTACATAAGTAAAACATTAAATTGCGGTATGTCATTTAAATTTGCACGTTTACAGTACGCTCGAAGAATTTCAAAGCATTTAAGAGTAAAGCGTGACCGGCTAGATTGACCCAGACATTTTTTATCGCTATACCTACATTACAATTGATATTGAATATTACAAATCACTCCATTTTTCTCCATCTTGCGCAAGTTCAATGCAGACCAATGTTTATTGAATGTATCGGTTTTAATATTGACTTTACACTTTTAGATATAAATCACTAAACAAATTTTAATAATCTGTTGTTAATTGATAAGTAAATTACATTCGTTGAATAGACGCCATTTCTTTACAATGAGTATCGTGGAAAAAACCACTTGAGGAAAATATTAAGAAGCAGAAAAATCAATATGCCCTGCGGCGAGTTTTTTTACCTTTTAATGTAAGCCACATTTGGAATGAAACAAATAATACAAGATATTCATAATTATAGATGAAAATTTCGTGTCTAAAAGAAGGTTTAATGTCGAAAACATTCACGCGAAAATTTGACCGTATTTGAATCAATAACAGAAACACCGGACAATAAAAATCACCACTGTTTTATTAAGTTAAATATGGCAGCCAGTTCACGGCCCCGGTACAATGATAGCAGGGGAGGGTAGGTCTATTAGGGTATGTAAAAAACATAACATAACAGCCTCCTCAG